AATATGATTATATCAAAAAAGAATTTGTTCTGTGGTGCTACTACTGAGGAATTGTACCAATAACCCCAGATGTTATTTGACAATTCAAACAAATCTTCGGCTGTCCAAAGAAGTTTATATATTCTACTTACTGATTTTGGGATTATAAATGCAGAAGAGATTTTGTACATTATGACAGTTATTGAAATTGACAAATAATGAAAATTAACTTTCCATCTATGTACTGTTTTTATTTACTTTGTAGTTTGCTTTGAGCAGGTTGAGGTACACGTAGAAAAGGTTCTATAAGGCTTTCAGGAACTTGGGCCTAGAGCTGTAGTGAGATTTCACACAGGTCTAGACTAAGACATAGCTACTTTTATTAGTGACAGAGGTTTTAAGAGAAGACTGCAACACACTGATAGCAATGAGAAGTGGTCTTTGACGCCATAGCCTTCCTTCTTGGAGTGGCTCATGTAGTTTCCAGAAGATAACAGAGACTTTAACATTAAATTGCTGTCTTCCTTTGGTGTCCCCTTGGTTGGGGCCCCTCAGGCAGGGAGTTAGTAATAATAGGTATCATTTTTGTTTTTATTTTTATTTTAGTTTTTTAATGTTTATTTTTGAAACAGAGACAGCGCACAAATGGAAAGGGGCACAGAGAGAGAGATGCAGAATCTGAAGCAGGCTCCAGACCCTGAGCTGTCAACACAGGGCCCAACTCAGGGCTGAAGCCCATGAACTATGGAGATCATAACCTCAGCCAAACTCAGAAGCTTAACCAACTAAGCCACCAAGATGCCCCTTAGATAATCACTATTATAGTTTACTTTTTTCCTCCTGTAAATAGAACCCAGAAATAATGTATGTTTATATTTCTGCCGCTTCTAGCTCTTTATTCTTAGGTAATTCTTGATTTTATTTCTGTGTGTCTTATTTTTGCCGCTAGATTAGCGTCTCTGGAACAAGAATTACTGTATTATTACTTTTTTTTTTTTAAGTTAATTTCCTTAGAGAGGGAGGGAGTGAGCTGGAAAGAGGCAGAAAAAGAGAGAGAGTGAAAGAGAATCTCAGTGTGCCCCACACTTATAGCATGGAGCCTGATATGGGGCTCAAACTCACGAACCGCAAGATCATAACCTGAGTCAAAGTCTAGAGTTGGACATTTAACCAACTGAGCCTCCCAGGTGCCCCTGTATTATTACTTTCTATAGAATACCTGGTATAGTGCTAGGCACCTTCTAGGGCTCACTCTGTAAAAGGAAAGATAACCAGCAGAATTATCTTGAGGCTGTTATGGGAGTAAAGAGAGACTTTCTGTGTCTTCAGTTATGCCTGATTCATTTATTCATTCTTCATATTTGTTGTTGTTGTTGTCGTTGTTTTATGTTGAAGGAGAGTTCTTAGTGCTGAAGCCCTCAAGCAGTTACGTCTAAATGTATTCAAGCCTTACAGTAACCTCCTGTCTACATGCACAGACAAACAGCCACAAATAACAAGGCAAACTGTGTTCATATTATAGGCAAGATGCTTTGGGAGTGGGGTCACAAAGTTATGAGAGGCTCTGGGAAGATGTCGTGGGAGGAGAACTGTAATTTAAGCTATGTTTTGAAATCTGGGTAGCATTTACTTTTTGTGTCCTTTCAAATTCTTAAGGTAGTGTCCCACCTCAACTCAACCCCCCACCAACCTTGTAAAAAAAAAAAATTAAGGTCAACATAAGTTATTGGCTTAAGTCATATTTGGATTTGCAGAGCATATTAACATCTTTTATAGTTGGTGCCACTAACTGTGGCATACAAAAATGTGTTGGATGTAACATAGCCCCACACTGGTGGTCTCCAGACTTATTTAAGATGACCTTGTAATATCACAAAAAGAGCAGTGCAATTGGAATCAGAAGACTTGGGTACAACCCCAGACATTGTCTCTTAGAAGTTTATGATCAGTAGCGTTGGAAAACTTTGGCACATTTCCTAATTGCTCAAGAGCTTAAGAATTCTGTTGGCCCTGGGAAATTTTGGGGGTTGAACTAGGTACTAATGGAGAGTCATACTATTGGATGGCTACCTAAATAATATGGAATGCTATAGCAGGCCGTGAAAGCTGTATTTTGCTTAGACTAGTTGAAAGCCTGTATGCAGATATTTGCAGAACAATCATTATTATCTTTACACCTCTATTAAATGAAGAGGTAGGATCAGTGACTATAGGCCTAAATATAGCATTAACAAAAATCCTAATAAGAATCTTATAGGAAAGAAGACCTTATACTCTGTTCTTTAGGAAAATACTCCATTGTTTTTATCATTCAAATTTGATAAGAGTTTCTGCTTAATTGCTTTTCAGATGAAAATACAATTCTAAAAAGAAAATAGTGGTAAAAGCTTTTTGTAAACATGAAGTGTTAGCTTTTAAAAACTTTTAATTATTTTTTGATTCCTCCTTTTCTTCTCCTGATAAAGGTAATGACATTTCCTTCCAAAGGAAAGACATTTTTGAAATGGAATTAAATTGAGAATAGGGTTTGTTTCTGTCTTTATCTTATATTCCGCCTGCTACGAAGAGACCCTGTCATCCCTGCAGCAGCTTCCTCTGTATGTCTGTGTGCCTTAGATGATCTGCGCAATAGAAATATTAGCTGGTAATTTTCTCTTTCCTCTAGACAAAGTCTCACTTGCCCACACTCTAGTTTTTCCCAGTGATGCATGGTACCATTGTGCTGCAGAGCTTCTGAATTCAATGGCATCCTTTTAAGAAATACTGGAGGCTTTATAAAACTGTCAGTTAACAGGGAGGTTTGTGGTGCGCCTGGGTGGCAGTTGGTTAAGTGTCCTACTTCGGCTCAGGTCATCATCTCATGGTTCATGGGTTCGAGCCCCATGTCACCAGCTGACAGCTCAGAGCCTGAAGCCTGCTTCAGGTTCTGTGTGTGCGTCTCTCTCTGCGCCTCCCATTCTCACACTCTGTCTCTCTCTCTCTAAAAATTAAACGTTAAAAAAACCCAAAAAAACGGAGGTTTGTGATGCAATTTTGGAATGCCTGATTCTCAGATGGTCTGATTTACTTTCTTAAATACACTAATTTAGAGTTTCCTGCTTTCATCTTTCTTAATCGCTCTTGCTGTATTTTGCTTTCTGCATAATATAGGAGTATTTGTTTTAATTTTTTAAAATAATTTTTCCCAAGCACAATAGTTGATATTCGAAGAAGATTACGTTTATCCATGGTATTTGCATTTCTGTTACTGCTGGTCTTGGTACCCACCTGTTTGAGAGGCATAAGACGTTCTGATTTGATCATTTCAAAAAAGCGGAATGATTTAGTATCCTGTCCTAGGCAAGATTTGATAAAATCTGAGCTCTTTTTCTGTCTTATGTTTCATTTTTTAGTAACCTTGGACTACTTGTTTACTTTTAGTCCTGTTGCCCCTGGTAATACTGCATAAAACCATATGGAAACAGTATCAAACACTGCAGAAGAGTATGAATGTTGAGAATATTTTATTTTATTTTTAATTTTTTTAATGTTTTATTTATTTCTGAGAGAGAAGGAGAGACAGCGTGAGCAGGGGAGGGTCAGAGAGAGAGGGAAACACAGAATCCAAAACAGGCTCCAGGCTCTGAGCTAGCTGTCAGCACAGAGCCCGACATGGGTCTCGAACCCATGAACTGTGAGATCGTGACCTGAGCCGAAGTCAGATGCTTAACCGACTGAGCCACCCAGGCGCCCCAAAAATGGAGAATTTTAGAATTAGTCTTCCAGTTTTGTGATTCTTAACTTTGTTAATAACTGTTATTGACATTAACATTGATTCCATTTTTACTGACAGTGAAGAAATGAACCTAAAGGAATAGTTACAAAATTGTGGAAATTTTATGAGTTTACTTCTAGAAAGAGCTATGAACTCATTTGGAAGGAAGGAAATTAAAAGCTTTCCTCACCCTCCCAAAGAATTGAGAAAGTCATGGAAGAGTGCACTGAAAAGAATCATTGGGTTCTAGGACATTAGAGAAGTTGAAAAGAGAAGTCTAATGTTTCATACTGAATTATCTATGCAGGGTGATACAGTGAAATATAGAACAAGGATTTAGAAGTCAGGTGGACCCAATTTCAAATCCTGACTTGGACTTTATGAGCCCTATGCCTTTGGACAAGATATTTCATCTCTTTGAACGTCAGTTTCTTCATCTGTGAAATGGAGATGAGAGGACATACTTCATAGAACTGATGGAGTATTCCATATGGATGGAGCATTTAGCATAGTGCTTGGCCATGGTGGCCTCTGTAAATGTCAGTTCCTGTCCCCTCACATCAGCAGCCCCCTTAGCAGGTCATTTTTATCTCTGGATTTTGGGCCAGCAATAAAGCCATTAACTCAGGCAACTTGAATCTAAAGTGTTATTCATTACTTTGATATCTGGTATTAGTGAAAGAGAAAAGTGATTCCTAATTTTGTAAACCGTTGCTAAGATTAATAGGCTTGACAGAACAACTTGTGTGTTTGTATAGAAGACATTTTATCTAAAATATTCCTATGATCATTATAAATACCTTCCTCCTCCCTTTTCCTTTTTTTAATATGACTGTAAAATATGGAATGGGAATTAAGTAAGGCAGAATAATTTTCACTTATATGAAAAACAGTTGCTGGGGTTTTCACAGCTGAAATCACTGCTTGCAAGGAGATTATGGTTGCAGCATACCGTGGGAGAATAAAAATGATAATGATGATGGTAACACTACCGTATGCTGGTTAACTTCTGTCAGTCCCATGAGGTATTGGTACTATTAGCTTCATTTTACAGATGATGAAACCAAAGCACAGAGAGGTTAATAACATTCCTGCTTGCATAGTTAGGAAGTAGCAGAGCCAGGATTTGAATTCAGACAGTCTGGCTCCAGAGGCCATGCTCTTAATCACTGTCTTATATTGGGAGGACTAAGAGAAGACAGTCTTTTAAATGGGAGCAAATGTCCTAAAGTGTGGCAAGTTGTTTACTCTTAGATTTGCTCTGCAGGTATTCTGAGAGAAGCCTCACAAAGTGTATTGGTATTACTATTGAGACCAGACCAGATTACTGTATGAAGCGGCATTTAAGTGACATGCTGACCTATGGCTGCACAAGGCTGGAGATTGGGGTGCAGAGTGTCTATGAAGATGTGGCCAGAGATACCAACAGGTAAGAGGGGGGCAAATGATTTTGCATAACCCTCCTTCTACTCCCACTGATTATATCTATGTTCACATTCATTCTTTCCTTGCTACCAATCTTAGAGAAGGAGGGATAGGTATTCCTTCTCCTCAGAGTCATTCTTCTATTTCTGCTCTTAATTCCATCTCTTTTCCTTGATTTCCAGTCTTTTCTCTGCTGGCTCTTTTCTAGTAGCCTGTAAACATGCTTTATTTCTTCCTGTTGTAAACAGCCTTTCCCATATGGAAAGCCGAAGGCAGGGCTCAAGGTCAGTGGTTTAAAGCAGAAGAGAAGGCCAGGAGCACCAGATCAGAGAGATAGGTTTGAACAAGAAGGAGGTCAAGGTGATATTTAAAAGATTAGTTGTTGTGAAGCAGATGCCAGTTGGCAGAGTAGTGAGAGAAAGGTTGTAAACCTAGAGAAATTTGGGAGGGTAAGGAAGGATAGAAATAAGGGTTGATAGAGCCATATGAAATTCTCTTCTAGAACTTTAGAAATAAATCACTGAGTTGAGGAGAAAAGACACACATGAAAGGTTAGCTGTATAAGGAACTTTATGATTAATTGGTAAATTAGAGAAAAACAAAAGATTTTTAGGACTTTATTAGGCAGCACAAATCACTGACTGTAGATGTAAAGGCAGGCTTTAGGCAGTTGGTATGGGTTGAGTTGGGTCTTAAAGTCTACTTTACTACAAGGAGCAGACATGACTGGGGGTTGTGGTAAGAGACGGAAGTAAAAGAGAACTAAGGAAACTTACACCAGTCAGCATCTTAGAAACAACCAGGAAGAATGCCAGGGTAAGGAGGAAAGAATCTTCCCTTTAGGTTATAGAGGTCTGTTAGATACTTTTGAACACAGGGAAGAATTGCACAGATCAGGCTTAAGAAAGATTAACCTGAGTAGAATGCACTCTTGTAGGGGCAGTCTTGAACCGGAAACACTGGTTTGATTGCTGCCGTGATCAAGGGTTATACCTGTGGAGATGGGAAGTCTCTTAAAGGTCAGGAAGGCTTTTTGACAAGAATGACATCAGATTTGAGGCTTAAAGGAAGAGTATGACTTAGCTGGGGAAGAGGAAGATTATTTCAGGCAGAAAGAAGCATACAAGCAAACTCCTGAGCACATGGAAATATGGGAACATATGGCATATTTTGGGGATTTGGAGTAGGTTAGGTTGTACAGTGTAGAGCATGAGCTAGGAGAGTGGTAAGAGGTGAGGCTGAAAAGGTAAGCCAGAGTGGCCAAATGATGAGGAGCCTTAGAAGTCAACCCCAGACAGTTTGGGCTTTAATCTGAGGACAGGCTATAAACTAAGTTGTTATAGGAGCATACCTGCATTTTAGAAAGATCCCTTTGTAAGTATTGGGGTGGATTGAGAAAAACGAGCTAGAGGGAAGATCAGTTAAGAGACTATTGCACAATTTAAATAAGAAATGATGTCTTGAAGAGAAGTGAATGACAGCACTTGATGACTGATTGGAAATGGGAGTAAGAGAATGGGAGCAGAGGAAGCTTGGAGGGAAGATGAGTTTCATTTTTGGATGTACGGAGTTCTAGATACCTGTGGAACAACCAGTTGAAGGTTTGCTTCAGAGGAAATCTATCCAATAGAACATTCTGTGGTGTCTGAAGTGTTGTACATCTGCGCTGTCCAATATGATAGCACAACTGAGGCACTAAATTCTTCACTTTATTTAATTTGAATATAAACCTAGTGACTATGGGCCTAGAGACTGTGGTATTGTACAATTGACAGTACATTTTAAAGTACTGGATATTTGGATGTTGTATCAGGAGAGGGGCCTGGCCTAGTCCTATAAATTGGGAAGTGATTAGCAAAAAGAGATTGAAAATGGATAGGAAGATCCAGAGTGGGCTAGAGTCCATGTTTCTAGGATTTTTTTTATGGTGAATGGGAATGTCTTGGAGATGAAATGATTGACATAGGGTTCAGGTCATTAGTAGCCCCAAACTGTTACGGGCTTGCTTCCTACTTGGATATGGTACTAGAATGTTAAGATGATTTATCCAGCTGGCCCCAAATGATTCTGCCCTGTCACTAAATCATTCACTTTTCTTACTTTTTAAGGACTTGTAGACCACCAGAGTGAAATTTATTTTGTTTTTAGGTGTCACTCTTCAGATCTCTCTCTCTACAAATAATTTCAAAAGATTTTTAGAGGAAAGAGTGTAACAAGAGGCTGCTTCTGCTTAGTTTTGAGCCCATTATTTTTGTTTTTAACTTAAATATATACATTAGTAAGTTTACTTTGGCTGATGATACTAAACCAAATAATTTTAGTAGATATTCACTCTGGTTACCCCAGTCATTTACTGTCAGAACCTTGCATAGGTACATGAGGAATTTCTGAGAAGTATCTCAGAAGTGAAATGATTTATTTCCAGGCCTTCTCAGAGATACAGACATAAAAATGATTTTCTGAGATTTTTATTCCCCAACCATATTAGCCTTCATTATAAAACCACTGTTACATGTCTCAGATTGTTTTTCCTCTGTTTCTTGTGTTAACCTTCTTGCCCTTTTATTTGTATAACAGGTAGTGAATTTTCTTTCCTCAGGGGCCACACTGTGAAGGCAGTATGCGAGTCATTTCACCTGGCCAAGGATTCTGGTTTCAAAGTTGTGGCTCATATGATGCCTGATCTGCCAAACGTGGGACTAGAGAGAGACATTGAACAGTTTATAGTAAGTGGTGCCTTCAGCCAGGGTGATTTAGATTGTTTCTGCATGCTGCTTCTACCCCCTCTGCTCTTTTTCATTATTTGCTGCTCATGTTTCCCCCATTATTAAGGCAATATGTCCCGTTATAGACGAGTGGAAATATGCAAAGAAAGAAGAGTCATTCTTCACAGTGCCCACACCACACAAAACCCTAACATTTTAACATACTTCCTCCTAGGATTTTTTTTTTTTTTTTTTATGCTTAGGCTTTTCGGAGGGGTATACACACACAGACATATACATACACACAGACACACTGGCACATATATGATAAATACTTAATTTTAATGGCTTTTTCATTTAATGTTATACAAGCTTCTATCTGTGTTAAATAGTCTGGTCTCTGTTAAAATGTTAACATACCTAAATGTGTGCTTAATTTCCATTGAATAAATATGTTATACTTTGCTTACCTACTTTCAAATTTTTTAAATTGAAAGTATTACCAGTATTTTTTATATTGTACATAGCACTGCAGGTAAAGAATTTGATGCCTATAACTTTTTGTAGTATTTAGGACTGTTTCTTTAGGATAAATTCCCTGTGGTACAATTATCAGGTAAAGGTATAAACACTTCAAGAATCTGTCCATATTACTTAATTGCTTTTCAGAGGGTTATAACAATTTATAGTCATTTTGGCAGGGTTATCGTTTTCCCCAAATAACACTCTCCTGTATATATATTTACACACACACACATAGATAAAATGTTTCTATCTTTGCCAATTTAGTATAAAAATGTAATTTCAACTTGTATTTTGTGGTTATTTTAATATGCTTTTCAGGTTTGCATGCAATAATCATAATTCTTTCATCTTCTTAGAATTGTGTGTTTTGTTCTCTGACCAGTTACTCTATTGGATATGAATATTTTTAATGTTAATTTAGATGAACTTTCTAGGTAAGGACATTATGGATTCCTTGTTTGTTTTTATAGTTGTTACACATATTTTTACCAGCCTGTCTTGGGCTTTTCATTTTTGTATCTGCTGTCAAATCCATCCTATTTATATATGATTTCTTCAGATGCTTCTGAATTTAGAACTGCCTTTCTCTTCCATTATTTCATTAAGTAGTGAAAGAAAATGTTTGGGCTTTTTCCTGTGTTCTCTGTTCTTTGATATTTTAATATCTAACTCTGGATTGGTTGGGGTTTTTGTTTGTTTTTATTCTCTCTCACATGTTGGGAAATGAGATTGGTAAGAACTTTTTTTTCTTCAGATTCTCAGATAAGGAAGGTGCCTTAGGTTATTCTTGTAGAGAAGAGGATGAAAGTAGTAAGTTATTTTATTCACAAAAATATTTTACTCTATTTAGAAAAATGAAATTCACTATGCCTTTCTTGTGACATTAATAATTCTTTCTTTCCTTTAAAAAATTTTTTATTTTTGGGGCGCCTGGGTGGCTTAGTCGGTTAAACGTCCGACTTTCGCTCAGGTCATGATCTCGCGGTTCGTGGGTTCGAGCCCCGCGTCGGGCTCTGTGCTGACTGCCAGCTCAGAGCCTGGAGCCTGTTTCAGTCTGTGACTCCCTCTCTCTCTGACCCTCCCCTGCTCACGCTGTCTCTCTCTCTCTCTCCTAGAAATAAATAAAAATATTTAAAAAAAAAAAAAAAAATTTTTATTTTTAAGCCCACGAATTACAACTGAAGACCTGTTTATAAAATAGTACAAATTCATAAATGTCCCTGTTACTAATTCCCCTGTGTTAGCTATGTAGTAGATTCTGAGTCTAATAGCCTCTCCTCAGTAGCTAATGGCCAGGTTCCAAGCCTAAAAGGCCTCTGAAACACTTTTTTTAGCACAACTTCTAGGTAAAACAAATATAACTAGAATTCATAACTTTAAGTATTATTGGGAAAAAAATATGGCATGTTTTAAATAATAGCAAATAGTGGAGCCTTACTATTCATTTTCCTTAGTGTTCAAAATAAAGAAAAGCTCAGTAATAATATTGCAAAGATCCCTTCATGTAAACAGATCTACCTGTTTGTGATCTTTTCAGAAAACTTTTCAGAAAAACTAAAATATGAACACTGTATGCCTTTTCTGACTACATCCCAGCACATAAATGAGTGACAAAATAGGGCTAACATGAGATACCTGATTTCTCTCTAGAGAAAATTTTTCTGCAAAATTAACTTAAAATGTCTTAAATAATTTCTACAAATCAATAAGAAAAAACCAGAAAGCCCAATAAGAAAATGGACAAAAACACTTGAATAGGCACTACAGAAATAGGATATTTGAACAAGCAGTAAATATATTTAGAAGTTCTTAAAGTCATTAATCTTCAAAGAAATGAAATTTAAAACTATAATGCATTCCTACTTATACACTTACCAGAAAAGCTAAGAAGAGCTAAAATGAAAAAAGACAAAATCAAGTGTTGGTAAGAATATGGAACAACTAGAACTCTTCACTTAGTGCTAGTGGCATGGTAAAAAAAACAAAAAGACACAAACTTTGACATTATCTGCTAATCATGAACATAGGCATATGCATGTCCTAGAATTGTACTCCTAGATGTATTCTCAGCAGAAATATCTACATATATTTACCAAAAGTCACAGTTACAAATTACTCTTGGTAATATCAGAGCATCAAGAACCCAAGTGTCTGTTAACAAGAGAATACATAAATTGTGAAGTAGTCATACAATGAAATAATATAAAAGTAATTAATTACAGCCTTATGCAACAACATGACTGAATCTTTTCAACATAAAATTGAGCAAAGGAAAACAGATCCAAAAGACTACCTAACACACAGTTCTGTTAGTATAAACTCCAAAAACTTTGGGTGGAATTGTAACTGGAAGCAGGTATGAGGTGGGTTTTCTAAGGTTTTGGTATTATTTTTTGTAATTTGAGTATCTGGGTACTGGTTACATGATGTATAAAAATCTGTCAAGATGTACACTTGGAGTTTGTGTACTTTTCTGTATCTAAGATACATTCTAATAAAAGTTCACATAAAACTTTTAAAACTAGTTTTTGTTTAGGAAATCTTGTTTGGACCTAGTTGGAATTCATAACCTTTCCTGAATTAGTAGGCAGTAATGTTTTACACTTTAAAACCTTTTTCCCTACTTTATTTTATTGTCACATCATTAGCAACCCACAGATACATTTTTCTTGAAGCGTTTTGTTCCATAGGAAGGGTTGCTAAATCGGGGTTCTGCTGGTCTAATTACCCAAGTCTACAAAATGTTATCTCTGTTAAAGGACAGGATAGCCTTGCCTGGCACGGCAGCCTGCTGAGATATCACAGCTATATCTTGGGTTGTATGCTTACGGTATACTAGTTATAAATTGGCTAGATTTTACACCTTGTTGTTTAGGTCAGTTCTGAGTCCCTACTCTTAGTATCTGTTTATTTGCATCTGTTCATTGCAAATTCACACTCTCATCCAGGGTGCACTGCTTGTAGCTGTGTGTGAGTAATAGCGTTTGTGTCTATTTTCCAGTAACTCAGAAATGAAGTTTTCTTTTTCTTAACTTCACCCTTCCCGCCTCTCCTCAGATGGGACTTACTTATTGCTCAAAATAACTTTTAGCTGTTTTGGTGTTTTATCCATTTAAAAATTAGATTGCTCTTGGATATCCAAGCTAAGATTGCTAAAAATGCATGAAGAATGTCTGTTTCTCTTCAGGAAAAAATTCTCCTCAGAATCTCCCGTCAGTTACCAGAAGTCCTTTAAAGATCATTAATGCTGGACACTCACAAGTTCTTCCCTCCACCCCTTCCACCCTGACCTGAGCTTTTTTCCCCCTCAAAGCCAATGTGATTAAGTTACCGTTAGGCTGGGATGGGTAGAGGCATTTGTTTTGTTTTTAATGTAAAGGCTTATTACTTAACATAGTGTCATAGGGTATGGGGCAAGTAGAGTATTTACAGGGCAAGTAGACTATTCTATCAGAAAAGACCACTGTTATAGTCTCCTCCATTGAGGAAACAGGCCCAATGAGATTAAGTAACTGTTAAAGTCAGTGGTGAGTCTGCAGTAGAACCCAAGCTCTTAGATAAGCACACCTTCCAGGATACCTTTCTGTTAACTTTTCTAGGTGAAGGGAAGTCTCTTTGACTATGAATGACTGTGTGTGACCTGAATGATGTTGAAATACAAGTCAAATTGGATCTTAAAAAAACTTTAAACCTCCTTCTGCTTTTAGTTATTTTTTATTTGTATCAAAGGAATGCATGCATAATTTTAAAAGTCTAATTGTGCTGTAAGACTACAGTGAGAGACAGCGATCGCCTCTTTCCTTTTCCTTGAGTACACCCAGGTCATTTTACAAACACTCCGGTGTCTCTGCCTCCTCGTCCCCTTCATTCCTCAAATCCACTGCAGTCTGGCTTCCACCACCCACTGAAACTCTTCTCTCAAATGTTGTAAAATACTTCTTAATCTCCAAAAGCAAAGAATATTTCTCTGCTGTCATGTTATTTGGTCTTAGCATTTGTTATCATTAAAGAGTATCTTCATTTTGAGATTCTTTTTTACCTGGCTTTTGTGATTCTGATGTCTCCTGGCTCTCTTACCTCCAGGACTGTTTCACTTTCTGCCCTGTCTTCTTTTTCTTCCCACCAGTTAGATGTAGGTTCTGTCTTTTGCTCTCTCCTTTTTTTTTAATATTTTTTTTATAGTTTATTGTCAAGTTGGTTTCCATATAACACCCAGTCCTCATCCCAACAGGTGCCTTCCTCCATGCCCATCACCCATTTTCCCCTTTCCCCCACCCCCATCAACCCTCAGTTTGTTCTCAGTATTTAAGAGTCTCTTATGGTTTGCCTCCCTCCCTCTCCTTAACTATTTTTCCCCTTCCCCTCCCCCATGGTCCTCTGTTACACTTCTCCTGTTCTCCATATGAGTGAAAACATATGGTATCTGTCCTTCTCTGCCTGACTTATTTCACTTAGCATAACCCCCTCGAGTTCCATCCACATTGCTAGAAATGGCC